GTAAAACAGCAGGCGTGGATGTTAGGGTGAAAAATAAAATTGCGTTTCCTGGTCGGCATGCTTGAGAGGGGAACCATGCAGCTCTGAGAGCTCGGCAGGAGCCGCTGGGCTGTCGGCACGTGTCCGTCCCCGTGAGGACGGGTCTCCTGGCCAGCGCGGGATCCTGCTGAGATGGCCTCCAGCAGCCGTTGTGGCTGCGCTTGTCTCCTGTTCGTCTCCGCTTGGGAGAGCTGGAAGCTATTGACTGAAATCATGTGGGCTTTTTCCCTTTTTCTTTTTATGCTGTTGAATTATTTTTCCTTAAAAAGTGAGTTTCGTCATAGAGAGGAAGCGAAGCGGAGGTATGGGGAAGGGGGACGTAGCTCTTGGCGATGACCGAAGAGCTACAGTAGCTTGTCACCCGCGGTTTGATAGTTCTGTGGGTTGGGGTGTGGGAGATGGGGGTTGCCTGCAGAGCAGCCTGCAGCTCCCCTGCGAGCACCGCGCGCTGCTGTGCGTTTGCAGCTCAGCCCGCAGCGTTTGCAGTGCTCCGTCCCGCAGCAAGCCGCCTGCCTGCCAGTCTGACGCGCAGCCCGCAGCGGAGCAGCCAGGCACGTCCCGGGGAGGCGTCGATGCCTGTCGAAGCTGCGTGGCGATTGCAGCCTTGGACGGCTCGCGCTCTCGCCCCTGGCAGACCTTTCCTGTTTGCTGGGCAGGTGTGAACCGGGGGAGCTTCCTGCCTTTGCTTTCTTGTCGCAGGCGTCACGCAGCCAGGTGCTGCAGCGCGATCTGGCTCGGGTTCAGCTGTGATGGACGGCAGCGAGGGTGTGCTGCTCCCCGTCCCCCTGGGAAGCTGCAGAGGGGGAGCGTGGAGCCTGCCAGAGCCTCCCGGACCGCGCTCTGCACATCACGTCGTTCCCGACCCGGTCTCATCACAGTTTGTCACAGCACCTGAATGTAGTGGTTTTGCTTTTTAATTCCAGCCAGGGTAGTCAGGTGCTGGTTTGTAATAAATACAGCCTGCACGTTTTGGGTGAGAACCCCTTGCGTGGGACTTCTCCGGAGAGAGTGCTTGTTTTCTTGCAGACTCGGTGCAATGCCCCGTTTCTCGCTGGCCAGCGCTCGGCAGCTGCGCTCCTGCACGATCGTGCCAGGAGCCACCGCCTCGCTGTGCAGGTAGAACGGAGCATTGCTGAGGGTTGTGCTGGCAGGTTAGTCAGACCGTAACGTTGGTTGATGCAATAGCTCGTGCTTCTTGCGGGGTGGTTTGCCCAGCCACGGTTTGATACCGCTCACAGCCCTGCGAGGGTTACGTGGATCATTGCTCGTTCCAAGAGCGCCATTAGCGACCTGCTCCGTAGTCCAGGGCTGGTGCCTGATTTGCATCTGATGGAGCGGGCTTGCAGGCGTGGTTTGGGGACGTTGCACCGCTTACCGCAGATCTTAGCAGTAAGTGCTCTTGGCAGAAGCTTCAGGTCCCCTTGCAGGTTGTGTTTCATGGCTTCGTGCCTTGTGGGTTAATACTGTTTCACAGGAAACCTCCTCAGTAACTATGGTCAGTGCTTTGTAGCATAAAGTACTTGATGATACTTGAAAACAACTAAACTTTAAAAATAATTTCCGCTTTGAGATACTGAGCAGCTCTCGGAAGCCTCAGGGACGTTTCAAAGCAATGCTGAAGTTGAGGTCCATCTCCCTGCACTTGGTGAGCTGCTAAAACATTTCCATGTTTGAAATGATCCCCCCGCTCTCTCCCGGCAGAGCTGGGATTGCTGACAACCCGCCAGCCTCCGTGCTGGAAGCCAGGGCTGAAGGAAGGCTCAAGCACCTCTTGCTCCTGTGCTGAGGGCTTGCGAGCTTCGCATTCCCCTGTAGTACTGTATCAAACCGAATTTTTGAGGTTCGGGGGTGTGGGAGTCGTGTCTGAGCCTGCAGGAGAACTGATTTCTTGAGACTGACTGTTCAGGTTGTGCCGTGTGGCTTGGTGAAACACCCTCCCGTGCTTTCGGTAACCTTCACTGTTGAGAGCAGTCAGTGAGCTGTGAGTGCTGGAAAAGGACTTGTTCCAAACAAGATCCTTTGCCTAAAAAACACATGAAAATTCATTTCTCCTGTGACTCCTCACTGCATCATCGCAGCAGGCTCCACAGAGAAGGCCCAGCTCCTGAAGTGGCTGGAGAAGCTGCTGCACGGTTGGGTTCCCCATTGGCCGGGCCCTGCAGCTCCCCTGGCGCGGGAGCAGTGGCTGCCGTCAACAGCCTGCCCAGGGCAGGGGGGCAACCACAGTCCCTGGAAGCGCTCAAAAAACGCGTGGATGTGGTGCTCGGGGACGTGGGTTGGAGGTGGACCTGGCAGTTCGGTTAATGGTTGGACTCGATGATCTCAGAGGTCCTTTCCAACCTTCACGATTCTGTGATTCTGTGCCCCTCGCCGTACGGCAGCGCCAGCCTGCAGCTGGTTTCCCGCGAGCTGGTAGGCAGTACCTGGGTGAATTTTCCAGGGAAGGTGGACACCTCTCTGCGGGGCACTGGCAACACTCTGGAAACATGGCTTGGGGTCCCGGGAGATGGAGTCCTGGCTTAGTCTTTCTCCAGGACGTTCGCTCCAAGCTCCTCGTGTCATGTCACTTAAGAGGCACTGAGCGCGGAGCGATGGGGAGCCTCTCGCTTGGCCGTGACCCCGCCGGACTGAGAACCAGCCGTTCCCGGAGAGCGGCCCTGGCGTGCCAGCGCTCACCGCCACTGGCCTGCCCCAGAGTTAAGGTCATCTGGTTGTGTTGTGTCAGCTGAGTGTTTAACTTTTTGCTTATTTAGAATTTCCTGTATTATGATAACATCTCATAAACTTCCAAATATAGCTTAACGCTAATTCGGACCGTAACAGGGTGCCCCAGGAGCAGTGACCAGGTGTCACCTTAAGTCGTGCCGGCCTTTTGGCAGCGCAGCGGCAGGAGGAGGCAGGAAGGAAGACGCGAAGCGAAGCAGCTGTGTGAAGGCCGAGGTTCGCAGGCACACGTGCTTTCCCAGGCATCTCGGCCGGGGACAGCAGAAGAATCGGCGGAGCTGGTCCGGCTCCCCTCCGCAGGAAGGGGCATGCTGATGGGACAGCCTGATACGGCCCGTGAGCAGCTCGGACGCTGCGTGTGTTGAATGATGGGAAGTAAGTTTAGGAGCAGGCTGCCTAAAGAGTAGCTGAGAAAAGCGCCTGGCTGGCCAGAATTTGTAAGTCAGGCTGCTTATTAATGGCAGTCGCTAAAATTGGGATGTACCTCGCCCACAGATCGCTAAACAGCGTGGCAGCACTCATGTTTGAGAAAACCCCGGGGGTCAAGTTTCCCCTTGCTCTAAACAACTCCTGGAGTGATTTTTACGTTTGTGTTGAGGATGAACTTGTGTCTGTTTCCCTTGCGACCAGGAGAGTGCGAGCAAAGAGACTGGCGCTCGCGGCAGGGCTGCTGGAGCAAGCCGTCGTGGAGGGCGCGGGCCCGAGAGAGCTCACCGGGGGCAGGCCGTCGGAGAGCTGTAATGCTGCCACGTCTGTCTAAAAGGGTTTTTCCTGTCTGTGAAGCTTGAGTCGGGCCGTTTGTGCTCAGAGGAGGCAGGCCTTACTCAAGGCGTTTGGCCGTGAGCACCTCGCAGCGAGCGGTGCTGTCGGCGGCGCGCGGGACCTGTCCCGGGGGAGGTGGTGTCTGGCCAGCGGCGGGGAGATTTGGTTGACTCGATGCTATTTTCTTCACAGCTTGGCACTGACCTTTCCATTTTGGTCCTTGCACTATAAGTGGCATCTTTTCTGATGCCGTGTTCTGCTAAATTCAGCTGTGGCTGGCTGGTGTGGTAAATGGGGTGGTGGAAACAGGGCTAGGTGCCAAAATTAGTCCTTCGGTGGTGCACACCTTCTGGTGAGGCTCCTCCTGTTACCTGGCTCCGCCAGCAATCCCGGGGCCAAAATCCGGCTGTGCCGGAGGGAGGCCAGAGGCGCTCGCACTCCCAAAGGCAGCGGGCGCTACTGTAAGGACAAGAGAGGCGGTCGTCCCCCGGGACGATGCAGTGGATGCGGTAATCCCTTGGCAGCTCTGCAGGGGGCTGAGGTGGTCCCGCTTTGCAGGGGCTGCTTGCCTTCGTGGCTGTGCCGAGCCTGTGGTAGAAGGAAAGTCCCTCTCAGGATTTCCAATTCCCAGACTCCGGCTTGATCCGCTGGAGCAGGGTTTTACTGTGAGCAGCTTTGTCGCTGAAAGGACATGGCCAGCGTAGAAGCGCTTCCCCAGCCTTGCAAGCTCTGTGAACGTAGCAGGGGCCACGTTCAGGAGCTGCCTGAGTTTCAGGGGTGGTTTGGCCGCTGCTTCAGGCTGTCCCAAGAGCCAGCAGCTCCCAGAAGAGCTGGCCCGCTCCCCGGTGTGCCAGTTTCCATACTTGCGTGGCCAGCCAGATCAGGGCACGATCTGGGTGAAGAGCAGGTTTTTTTATTTGGGTTGGTGTGGGCTGGCGGGCAGGCATGGGCGGGAGCGCTCCCCCCAGCCGTGCTGCGGGCTCCGGGTGCCGTAAAGCCACAGGGAAAGGGCAGCTCCAGGGGAACCCGAAAGTAAAACTGAGCAGCACGATGCCATTGTTCGGGGAAAATGTCAAGTGCCAGGTTGTAGATAACGAGCAGTGAATTACAGTTCAAAATCTGCATCTGTGATCTTGTGTTAGCAAGACAAGGAAGGAAACTTAAACTTGACCAGAGATCTGCCGCACTTCTGCTTTGCCCATTACGCACCTTGAGATAACGAGCTTGGGAGCTGTTTGCTTATGACTCTGTTACAATTGCTGCTTTTCCCTCTGGTAGGGGCCGCGCTGCCGTACAGCTGTGTTTGTGGAAGGGGCCGGGGTCTCTCCTGTGCTGCCTGTGTCCGTGGAGGGCTGACGCAGTGCCAGAGCGTCCCGGTGTTGCTTCCAGCCTGGCGTTACTGGAGGCTGAAATGCCGGCTGGGTGCCTGCTGCCTGCCCTCTAATCCCTCTCTTGTGTCTGCAGGGAGCGGGGATGGACAGGGACAGATACTCCAGCGTTTCCCGGAGAAGGACTGGGAGGACAACCCTTTTCCCCAAGGCATCGAGCTGGTGAGTGTGCCATCCCTCGGGATGGAGGCATCGAGCTGGTGAGCATGCTGTCCCTTGGGACCGGGACCCCGGGGAAGCGTGACCGGCGTGCGGGGCGGGTGACACCATGGCACTGCGTGCACACATCTGGCTGGGTGCTGCAGGGTCTGACGGGGGGAGCCCACCAGAGAGGCGTTCCCACCTGCCCCCCAACGCAGGTCCAGCTCTGGAAAACCGCGGGATCCAGCACGCTGCCTCGCAGCCGGGCCGCAGCGGAGCCGTCCGGAGGCAGTCGCTGCTGCCTGGCCTGCCTGGGGCTGGCTCCTCTCCTGGCTGCTGTGCTCCCCCTCCTCCTCTGGGATCAGCTGCTTGGGATGCTGGAACGCTTCCTAGAGGAGCCGCATGGATGCAGCGTCAGTATAAATAGCCCCGTCACGAATAGCAGGGCTCTGCCATTGTCAGGCCTCCCCCAAGTGCTCTGCCGAGCAAACCGCTCCCCTCCTCGGGCCGGTATCGGCGGCGGTGGCTCGCCTTCCGGCAGGCCTGGGTGTGCTCTGTTTGCATCCGCCCAGCGAGGAGGGTTGCTGGGCCCTGGATCCCTTCCCCAGCCCTCCGGACACATTCGCCTGCTGTTGTGAGTCCTTTGAGGTTGCAGTCGTTGCTGGGTCATAGCCATAAAGGACACACCCAGTCTAATTTGGCACTGCGTGGGTTCTTCACAAACCAGCTTTTAACTAATCAAGGATAATAGGATTGTTCTCCTCGGTTGCTAAATTTGAGTAGAAGTTCTCCTCAAACCCTTCCCTGCTGCATTGGTGCTGCTGCTGAGGAGCTTTGAAGGAGAGGAGCTGGTGCTCCGCCGCCAGCGAAAGGAGAGGGTTGGGCTGCCGGCTGTCCAGACCCCTTTCCACCGCTGAACCGAGCCCCTGCTAAGCTGCTCTCCCCCCCACGCCGTTCTTCCCAGTGCCAGCTGAAGTACAGTGGAGTACAAAACCTGAAGACAGGCGAGGCTTTAGAAGTCCCTTCGCTGCCTTACAAGCCCTGCGGTGCTGGGACTATCCTCGCCCCGCTCCTTGAGGCCTTGCAAGGACCTTTGCTGTACTGGGAGGTGCTGGTGCGTGGTGGTCGGTGCGGGGATCCCGGCCAGCCGAGAGCCCCCGTCCTCTCCTGGAGCAGAGGAGCTGGGAGCAGCCGACCCTTTCTGCCTCTGTTGGTGTGCGCAGAGGGTTTGCAGCTCCCTGTTGGGACGGGGCTGGCCCGAGTCTCCTGCCGGCAGGACTCGCCGAAGGGCGTTCGTGCTTCTCTGATGAGGGATGTTTTGCCTGAGGGAGTCCTGGGTACCTGGTGTAGTTCCAGGTCCCCGTGCTTCCCCAGGGCTTTGATGAATCGTTGAATAGAATCACAGAATATCTCCAGTTGGAAGGGACCCGTAAGGATCATCGAGTCCAGCTGAGACGATGGCCTTGGCCTTGGGAGCTTGTTTCCTTAGAGCAGATGTGTCACGGGCATTCAGGGCACCGCACGTTGGCACCTCTGCCTTGCGCTGTCCACGTGCAGGGCTCTGGGTAGCCGAGAGGGGTGGTGGCCCAGCCGGCGTCTTGTTTCATGGCCTGCGCAAGTTTCCTGTGCTATTTAATGCTCGTTTCCTCAGCGGTGGATCTGCGGCCACCCCTGCTCACCCGTCCGGACCCAGTTCTGCTCTCGGCTACCTCCCACGTTTCGTGGCCTCGTTCAGAGCCGGTGGTCATCTCCATCTTTCTGTGTGCTGGTGCTGGAGAACTTCCACGTGAGCCGTGGCTGTTGGAGGCTGATCAGGACACCCCGTGTCATGTGCCCTCCAAAGCTCCCATGCCACACTTAACCGAAAACCGTGGGGCTGTGCTGGCATTGCAAAGGAGAGCTGCTGGCGTGCTCCTCTTACCCGGCCAGGAGCAACCAGCTCGTGGAGTGGAGGGCGTCAGAGCTGGACATGTCTTTCATCCCCGTCCTCGTCCCTCTGCCCCGTCCCGGGGCCTTGGCTTCGGCAGTTACCGCTGCAGCCGCCAAGTCGTGCCGCGGGCCCGCCAGCGAGTGTGGCCAGTCACCGGCATCAGCGGCGGTGGCCGGCTCGTTTTCCTATTGCGTGCTCGCCCTGACTGCAGCGCAATTTCGGACTTTTATGTACTATTTTGTCTGAGGCAGAAATATATATTATTTTTCTGGTTAGTGTTTCCTGGTTGTCTGCAGGGGACTTGGGAACTGTCCCAAGAAAGAGGAAAGCTGCTTTTTTCCCAAGGCTCGAACTGTCCAGCCAAAAAATCCCTGGAATTTAAACAATTGGAGCCCCGTCCTGTTGGGAGCTGGGAGCGGCTCCGAGGCTTCCCACAAGCTGTCAGGAGGCATCCTGGGTGACCAGCACGTAGGGCTGAAACTAAGGCGGCTTCCGAAGATCAGACGGAGCCCAGCCGGGGGGTTTTGGGTTGTACATGACATTGCGGCCACTGCTGTGTTTCTTTTGAACAGCTTTTTTGGGGAGGTGGTTTTCTGGGGTGTGTAGGGAGCAGGAATTTGTAGCTTCTGCCCTTGCGCGCTGCCTGACAGCATTTCCAAACAAAAATATCTCATTTCAATGGATGGAAGTTCCTCTGGAGAGAGATACAGGATCTGAGCATGCCTCCTCTGTTGCAGCATCCCTCCCCCCGAGGCCAGGGCCATCTCCTCGGGCAGCCCTCGGGCCCGCGGTGGGTTGCGCCGGTTGCCCTTGCCAGCCTGGTGCGGGCAGACTGGGGGAGCCGGATCTCCAGGCCCTGGGGCAACCGGGAGAGCCTGGGTGTTACTGCAGGTGAAACCATGGCAGGGAGCCCTGCTTCGGGCTGTGACTAACAGCTCTCCCTTCCAAGGGTTCCTGGTTGGAGTACTTGCGGTGGTACCCAGCGAAGCGTGCGTTACGGGAACGGAGATTCCTGCTCAAACCGGTGGCTGTAAGTGCGTGCTGTGGTGTGCTGCACCCGCTGGTTCATCTGCTCCAGCGAGGGTTAGTGCCATTCCTCCTCTCCCCTTCCGATCCCACCCGCAGCACTGGTCCTTACGTCCTGTACCACAATCCCGCAGCTCTGCTTAACGCAGCGCGGTGTTTCCCTGGTCTTAAGGCCGCTTGCGGACGGTTGTTGCGTACTGCAGGCCGTGTCGTTGTGCCTGCTGAGTACATCCAAGCCTCCGGACACATTTCACCTCTGCCAGCGTGCACTGGCACCCGAGCCAGCCCATGCCAGCGTTCCCTCCTGGCGCCTGGGCACCGGAGGGTGTCAGGGTTTCTGCTGCTCTCAGATAAAACGGTGCGATTCTTTTGTTTTCCAACCAGCAGGTAATTGCCTGTGTGTACGCGCCTTTGCTGTCCCTGTTTGGTGGAGGTGGGCACAGGTTTGTACGAGGTTTGCTCCCTGGCTGCCGGGAGCGCTTGGGCAGAGGTGCCCATAGGAGAATGCTGCGTCCTGGCCCTGGCTGGGGGGGCTTGGTGGGGCAGGGTCCGCAGGCCTGGGCCGGGGGTCTCCGCTTCCAGGGGATGGTAAGGCCCTGTGCCAGCAGTGTGCCCAGGTGGCCAAGAGGGCCAATGGCATCCCGGCTTGTATCAGGAACAGTGTGGCCAGCAGGAGCAGGGCAGGGATCGTCCCC